GTGCAGCTCCGAGTATACGAGAGAGGTCCAGGTTCTAGAACTCCGCGGCTATATCCAAAACAAAGAAAAGGTCGAGGAAACCCATGACAAGAGGCCAATGCCTCGTACTATACAACTCCCGCTCAAAACAGATGTAAAGAGAAAGAGCGGCGAGCCCGAGCAAGGTCGGTTTCGGATGCGGGATCGCTCAGGACGTGATCACCGGATGAAAATAGGAAAATACTCGTAAATCACAGGCACAATTCCCATTCAGAGGCCGTTCAGATAAAGAGCTTCGTGGCGCTTTTGTTCTCGCTGGTGGCGACAGCGACGAGCGCTTCCAGTCGACCCATTCCAGGTTCCCGAACCGAATGAGGAAGGAAATCGGACCGAAGGTCACGTTTGCCGTAGTGGCTATCAGGTTGGGGGGCTAGAGGGGGGCAAGCCTGCATTCCAATCAGTGATCTGGCCCTCATCGTTGATTCTGGTAACGTGTGCGTACTGTTTGAGATGTTTCCGAGGCAAAAGGCGGGTGATGCTGCTCCACATATCCATTGTTATGCACAATTGCGGGATGGTATTCCAAAGATGCAGTAGACGGGGTATGGACTCCTTCGCTGCTGCTGGAATCTTCGGGTGACGTTCGCGTCGCCTGGGTGCTCATAGTAACACTGCTGAATGACGGAGCATGGCCATGTCCACGAGATTCCTGCAGTTGTTGCTGATAAGACGAGGATGGCCGGGAACCAACATTCTGGAGTTCGGCAATGGTTTGCTGGCTCCAGTTTGCCGCATCTCGCTGAGATGGTTTGTCCCGGATGTGAAGTCCGGTTAGGTTTGTGTGCAGCGACATATCCCAAGAGACGTGACCCCGTCGATGACCGGGGCCCGAAATTGGCGGCGCTGGTCGGCTGGCCGGTTGCGTGTAATTAAATCCTCCTCCAAAGTTGTAGTTCGGCGGTTGCTTGGTCGGATTATCCATTTGCATGGGACTCGGTCGTCGAACGGGCGGGGTCAGCGGTCGGTGAGCCACCACCTTATCAAAACTCTCAATACCTGGCAGTCGCGGAGGCTGCTCCGCCGACCCATTGGTTTTCGCCGACGGGTGGAACACTTCGGGGGTCTGGTAGTTACTGAGGCCACTGGTGGCTGGCCGAGGAACGGCAGACCAGGTCGAGGGGTGCCATGTCCTTCTGCGTAGATCGGCGTCCGAAGCTCCGTGATTCATCTCATCGCGAGACAGGGAGTAATTAGTGCTAACGGGGCTGGCGTACACTCCGCCGTGCGCAACGTACGCGGGGGGTGGAGCATAACCTGGAGGATAGACGTTGGCAGGCTGCGATGCGAATGGGTTTGCGCCTGATGGCACAGACAATCGACGAGCGGCTGTCTTGCCTTCCCAGAATCCCGAGGCCTGGGACACTGTAGACATTGGCGAAGCAATATGAGGGCTACCATGAGGCCCTGCCGCAAAGACATGGTGTGAAGGTGTGTAAGGGGAGCCACCGGCCTGCGGTCCTGGCAGGCCCCGCCCCGGAGGGGTGCTGGGAGCATCCAACGTATCCATCAGTCGCGCTCGATCATTTGCCATCATCAATGGCGCAGGCCGTCGGCGAAGCTCCTGCGGTTGACTGAATGTCGATGCAGTGGAGGTGATGCTCGAGGCAGAAAGGTTTCTGCTATGGCCCCTACTATGAGTACCTTGACTGCCCGCCGTGCCCGCTCTCGCGCGACCCTGGGGACGAACGCGATCTGTTCGAATTTGTCGCTGGAATCTGGTCCCTGTCGCCGCCAGCGAGTCTCCTGGAATCTCCTCGTTAACGTGCACGGTTTGGGCATGCTGGCGCAGGTTGTCCAGTCGAGAAAAGCGGCGGGAGCAGTGGCATTGAAACGGGCGTTCGCCGGTATGTTTCCGGATGTGCCGAGCCAGATGCTCACTCCGTGTAAAACTCAAGTTGCATGGTGGGAAATCAGTGCAGTAGAAGCGTTGTCCCTTTTTCTTCTTCGATGGGGGAGCATTGTCCTTGTTGTCCTCGTTATCAGAGCCTTCACGTTCCCCGTCCGAATCTCCATGTGCGGGCTCATCTGACGTTAACGATGCGCTGGTTTGCGAGTCTATCGGGCGGGTGGAGTCATCGTTGATATTTACATTCCGCGGAGTGCTCTCGTCCGTCTTGGTGCCTAAAGATGATGCAGCGTCGGAGCTGGAATGAGGGCGAGGGGTGGATGATGTCGTCGCGTCCTCCATGACCCGATCTTGTGAGGTGGACATAGTATTGACAGGTAAGAATGAAGACATATTGGCAGGAAGACGACTGTGGATTGGGCCCACAGCTATGTACTGTCGTCGATAACAGAAATGGTGGGATGACGGTCGACACACAAACTCGATCGGTTTCAAGGGAGAGGAATGAGGGTGGGTTTCAAAATGTCAAAAACGCGGTGTCGATCGCACGGTGCAAAGTGGTCCTAGACATCATAGCGCAGTTAAGGTAAGCAGGTAATCCACGTTACTTTCAGGTGTAATTTATCTTCGATGTTCCATGAATTTTCGCCTCTCAATATGCGGTAACTGAAACATCATGGGGGGAAAGAGGGACCGAGGGGTGCGGTCGGTGAGAAACCGAGCTAGTCTGGAGGACGAAAAATAGAACAGAAAAAAAAAAAAAGAAAGAAAAACAAGCAAAAGGACTTACACCGGAATGAAGAAAAATTCACTTGCCTCCCAAAAACCGAGCGAGGGGTGAGAGAGTAAGGAATGTTCAGAGAAGGATGATGGCGATGACTTGTTTAACCGAATGCCCGACGACGATGGCGAAGCAAGGGTAGCCAGGTGGTACACGATAGATGGAAAGGAACGACCATTAGGTGCAAGAACGCATCGCTTACAGATCGGCCTGACCAGGAAAAGGCAGCGGGCACTCAGTCACGGGTAGATGGGTAGGTAGGTAGGCCGATAGACGGGGAGGAAGGAAGAGAGGGACTGAGGAAGAAGAGGAGGAAGTGGAAAGTGAAAAGATAGCGATGGGATAAGAGTTGGAAGAAGAGGGAGAGAGAGAGAGAGAGAGAGAGAGTACTGAGAGTGGTTTGGTGGTGAGTTATCAGTGTCAGTGGTCAGTGGTAAGAGATAAATGGTGTAAGGTTCAAGTTGGCGGCGGCGGCGGCGGACTCGAGCGAGAGTTTCCCGTTTGGTGTCGAGTCCTGGAAGATTGTTGTTGGGGGGAGTGTGGTGGTGGTAGTGGTGCAGTTGTGGTGGTGGTGGTGTGGGTAATAGTAATAGGTAAGTAAGAGTCAATGGGTACGGAAACTGGGTAAGGGTAAGGGTAAAGGTCAAGGTATGAGTAGGTAAGACAGTCAGGACAGTCAGGACACCGACCCAGCCAAGACCTGGACTAGAGTGGAATAAAAATAGGAGGAATCGTAAACCGATCGGAAAGCCCCTGGTTTACGGATCGTCCGGAGAGAGCAAATCAGCCAAAATAAGATATATAGGTCAAGAGACAGGTCAAATCGGATCCTAGGCCAGCTCGAATATAAGATGATCGCTTCAATGTGACCCGTTTTGAGAGGGTTTGGTTGGGAAAAGGGAGATCCTTTTTGCTCTTTTTTTTGTTCTTCTTTCCTTCTTCTTTCCTCCCTCTTCTGTTTAGTTAAAAAGGGACGCCCGATTATACTGGCAGGAGAACCCAGACCCACAACAGATTTGAGGTCTACTGGGCGAGGATGTACAGGCACCAGGACCACGAAACTCGGTGGTTCGCTAGCTCTCGGGAAAGGTATGCGGGGAAGATCCCAAAGGAAGATTGCGAGAAGATGAATAATGCAGGTCAAACCAGTTGAGGGAGGATGAATAGTAGAATCGGATAGAAGAAGAAGAATAGATACGATTATTCACAGGAGGGGTGGATGGGAGGAAGTGGAAGGAAGAAGAGGATGCCAGGTGAGTGAAGGATAAGTGAAGAAAGAAAGAGAGAGAGAGAGAGGATAGATGATGTGAGCAATAGGAAGGGGGGAGGGAGGAGGGTAAGAGGAGGCTGATCAATCCGAAACTCAAGACCAGACGAGAAACAAGACAAGCCAGCGGAGACGGCAGAGGAACGGACGGGCGAAGAGATGCATACAAGTACTGAGTACGGCGAGTAGCCTGCCTATAACCCGAGTGAGAATGACGGCAACCCACTCAGGCCAGGCCGAACAGATGAATGGTGACGACGATAGTACCGGGCGTCAGGACCACCTCAGGATGATCACCCCAGGACCACTTCAGGACCACCTCAGGGCCAGAAGGCACCCTACAGGAGGATAGCAACTGGGAGACTGGGAGGCTTATCGGAAACAACGGTCGACTGCGGCGAAACGAGGGGCAGGAGAGGGGAAAGGGAACCATGGACGGAGAAGTATGGGAAGGGAGGTATACTTTGTGGAGGAGAGAAGAAAGGGTCGTCGCAGTACTAGGTATACTACCAGGTGAATGTCTACAGACTGATGAATTGTAAGTTACTGCATGTTTTACGTACAGTGCGTTCATCTGCCATTGAACATACATACTTCTAATATTCAGCAATTTGTCCCGGTCGGAGGGCACCCTGTTCCTCAACACTTCATCGCCTGCCACGTTCTATGTATGGAATGAATTGGAAAACGCGACGAAGATCACCAAATCCAGATGATGATGACTTCGTCTACATTAGGTTCAGGCGAATCAACTCACTCTGGAGGGGCGAGAAGGACTGCGCTACTGGATAGTGAACTGACGTTTTGATAGGTGAAACCCTCTCTAGCCCCAGGTACTGACGACTTGGTCCGGACCGACCGACACGAATCATCGACTGCATACCCGGTGGAGTTCTCTCCAGCTAGGATGAATTCATAGGCCACTCTTGGTCTCCTCTTGGCCTCATCGAGCCAAGCTTGGATGGTTTAGAACATTGGGTAGTGCGAGGGAGGGAGTATCCAGGTGTACAATACTTCGACTGCAACTGAGAACTTCATTTCATTCATCATCATCAATGCATCATCAGGCTAGCGGGAAAGCATTTCCTTCTGATTCTCCTCTCCTTCAATCCGATTGTTTTGATCCTAGAAAGAGACACAGACAAGAGTGCTATGTTGGCGGTTCAGCATGAAGAAAGGAAGTTATATCCTTGTAACTGATTGATATCGGGCATACATTGCACCGCTTGAGCAGATGGGGGGAGGTGATACATACAATACGCGCCGGTATGAAACCCGTCTCAGGAACCCAGCGCTTAGCACTACTAATCGCCATGGCAATCCTTGCCCACCCCACTCCCTCAATCTGAACCACTCGATAGAACTGGATAAGGGTAAGTAATGGGAGGAGATGAGGAACTGACCGGGTAGTCTTCGGGTGAATGGGTTTGAAACATTTATTGTTTTCTTTCGGATTTCCTCATCTTGATCAACAAGACTAGACACTAGAAAGAGAGAGAGAGTGTGTGTGTGTGCGTGACTGACTGACTGACTGACTGGGAGGGGGGGGAACGAAAGGAAAAAGAGATCAGTCTCGACTCTCGACTCAAGTTTTTGGTCTCGGCAACCGTGGTCCCCCTCTCCATCAAAGGGTCCTCGATTAAACCAACCAGGCCCATCATATACGGGCGCTCTCCGTCTTGTTGAGGCACCAGGTACGTTCAGGCGGCGAGGTGGGGCAAGGCAGCGCAGACGCATCCGATCGGCTGCTATTTCCTGTCCCTCAGGGATTGACTCGTAGGGATTATGGTTGACATGATTTCATGGATTGGAACCAGCTAGCTTGGATCGCTTGAATTCCAGGGCTGACCGGAAAAGTGCTGGCAGAGACCCATGGACCATAACGTCCAGTGACGTTAACCACTTGGGACGAGCCGGGGTCGGCCCCTTTGTCCCCCGTACCTCAGGTAACTTTGGCCCCAAGACAAAAAGGTGGTAGAACAAGTAGTCTGGTTCTCTCCTTACCATTGATTTTATTGATTTTGGCTTTCTTCAGAACCTTGTCGCTTCGCTACAGAGATCCGAACCTGATCACTGGGAGTGTATGCCTGTATGCTACTATAGTTTGTTGGGAAAGCTGGCCACCTGGCAACCCGTGACACATTAGCAGTTCGGAGAGCTCGGGGAGGTGGGGAGCAGCTGTTTTCGGGGACCGAACCATAACCAGGCTGACCGACTCCTTACGGTTCCACTCTCGGCATCAGGGCGATATACTCTAAGTGCTATGTACGTAGTGGTGACACTAGCAGCGAAAGGTATTGTACTCATATGTATGTATGTACTAGCTAAAATCAAGAAACAAAAAAAATAGAGGTTATCGTGAGATGCTGTTGCAGGCTGCAACATAGGTGACAGTGATTGCTATTGAGTAATCCAACCCACAGGCCTGACAAGGAGCCAATATCAATCACCCCAAGAGGAGTAGCGAGGGGTGAGCTTCAGCATGGAATACGAACAGAAGGTCACACAGGAACCTAAGTTCAGTTCCGGACCTTCCACTCCTGCAGTCAGGTGCAATCTTCCGGGGCCGAACTCTGCAGTACCTTACATGGAAAGAGTTCTTCTCGCAGGTAGCAGCAGGTTTCAATTCATGACATTTCCATCTCCCTCAAAATACTACTATGGTAATGCATGCTACTCAATAAAAAGATCTCTAGTGGGCTAGAACAGCGCAGACCACCAACACAATCGGTACCTTGCCGTGACTTCCAGAATAAAGTCATGACTACCTAGTACTTTCTTCCCTTCCCACACAATGTTACCTTCCCGTGTGCACTCCCCAGATTTCTAACTCGCCCAGCAACAACGCAGCAGCAACAGCAGCAGCATCTTCGTCAATGTCGTCGTCACTATCATCGTCATCATCTACCCTTAATTCAAGATTCATGATCGATCAGGTCGTCGGAAAAGCTTGTTCCTGGCCACCAGCGACAGAAGCTGTCAAGCCCCTCCCTTCCACCAATGATCTAGACATCATCGCCATATCCGGGACTTCCTTCAAACTTCACATTTTCACGCCTGACCAAGATTTGCTGGTCAGGAGCGACTGGACTGAAGGATGTTAAACTCATTGAAAGGCCTGGGGCAAACTCAAGATAGAAGAACCCAGAAGACAATTGCTCCCCACTTTCTTACCACTTACTGTCTACTTGCTTGCCACCTCCGCCGGGACCGCCCCCAACTGCAAACGGCACGGGAAGCACTGGAAGCTTCTTCCTGTCTATGACATCTCGCGAGAACTGTATCTCAAACGCGCAAGTCTATCTTGCGCCACTTGCTGGGTTATGATGTGCTTTCTTAGCCCCAATAAACTCGGGGCTGTGGGATCAAAACGACTAACGCCTGTATTGAAGTACTGTACTCCGTGAGGGGGGGTATAGTCTGGACTGAGGAGAGTCAAGTACAAACTGCTTCCCCTCCCCCGGTCAAATAACATAAAGCGCTACGCCGCAGGATCCCGCTTTGCCTTTCTGGCGTGTCGCGAATCGTGCTGGCTGTCACTCTCGTCTGGAAGGACGAAGGCAATGCAAAGGATGCATTAGTCTTTCCGCTTTGACGTTTTGACTCAGATCGTGGGCGTTGAGGGGCTCTCAGGCAGATTGTCCGTCCCCTTTCCTGGTTAGTCCTGCTCTGTACTTCGTACGTCTGGGCCCTACGACCTGCCCGCTGTTTTCAGCAGGGGACTGAACCGGATCACAGTAAACCATGTCAGGTTCTGAGCTGCTCAAGCCTAATATATTTGTCGGTAGGTCTGCATGTATGTCAGGATGATGGAGCAAGGTCTCCTCGATGGGTTTTAGCTCGGATTCACCCCCACCAGATAGCTAGGCACTACTGACGTATGTACTGTACCTCCTGGGAGTGGTGGCAATGACTGGTTCGGTCGACCCCAAGCCCTGCCCCGCAACTCACTAGGTAGTACTTTCTCCATATCCAATTGCTTGATCCAGGAGACTTGTGCGTGTTCTCAAGGCGAATGTGACTAACGCGTTAGCTCCCGCCCGGTTTCCAATGTGACTCGCGATTCGTTGGTATAACATCTTATCAAGTTGCAAACTACTTGCTGTGCTACGGCGGAGTACGAGCATGAGTAGTAGATATCTATGCATCCCCTCTGGGATCGACCCCTCACGACCCCTCAATTGCCAGACCCTTGATCAATCCAACCTAGTCAAGCTTCCCCATATCTATTCTGATGCAATGATTCGCTTCAACAAACGACTTCATGTCATGATAACCACTGCACAGATAGCAGGCCACTCTCTATATAAAGCAGCATCTATAGCAGACCTCGGTATAGACTTGAACCAAGTACATACAGAGGACAGCGCTTCAAAAAAGGGATCGTACTTGTGCCGACATCGCATTTTCCACAGAGATCAAACCATTTTAACTCAACTTTATCCGCATGGAAGCTCACCCATTTCCATCATCATCATCCTTAAATGCTACCCCCACTACAGCAACCACGCCGAACAGTTCACACACACACGGGTAAAATGAATAGATTGATTAGGTAGCCCCGACTAGCTCCAAGACTAAGTGCAGTAGCAGCAATGCCCCCGTGTTTGGATGATCGACGTGGCACTCCCACCGACCAATAAGCGCAAGCTCGTCATCTACTAGATCAATCAGGGCGGGAGGGGAGAATCACCACAATGTATGAGTAACTTACTGTACATAGATTTGAGGACAAAATAGAAGTTAATCATTGACCTTATCCGCGAATAATTGCACTGTGCCAGCCTACCGATACTAAAGCTACCTTGTATAAGTTAGTACTCCGTACCTCAGCAGTAGCTGATCACCCTTGCCGCCCAAACAGAACAGAAAAACATAAGGTGTGCAGACTAAACCTCCCACCTGCAGAATTGATTACCGAATCAAACTTCTGTTGCCTCTCCCACACCAACAACTTAGAGGTGGAAAGTAAACGCACACATCACCTCCTCCACACACACACACACACACACACACACACACACACACACACACCCACCGCCAGACACGCACACACACGCGGGCGCCCACCCGCCACTGAGGGGCAGAAGCTAGCTCAATCAGGTTTTCCCAGGACCCTTTTGCCCCTTTTGCCAAGATGATCCTGGATTTTGATTGTGGTTGAGGTGGTTGTTCAACCATGGAAGAGATAAGGGGAGGGGAGGGACAATCGCACAGCTGAGGAGGTGCCCGGTCAGTCGGGTCACAAAGCAACTAGCTAGTGGACGGAGATTCGACTTCAGTAGGTACGTATTGTACTGAAGTCGATGAATAGATTATCAATAGAGATTTTTTCCCACCACGTCGCTCGGTACTCATTACCGGGGGCGAAGGAAACTCAAGGTACGGTACTCCGTACTCCGTACCAACCGAACGACTGACTGCCCACCGGCCACCGGCCACCCCCTCCCCCTCATCCTTCTGACTTGATGGCATAATCAAGTGGTTTCAGATTGAGCAGGGATTGCCAATGCATCAACCTGTACTCCGTACATTGCTTCCTCTCCCTCCCTCCACTTCTAGATCACATGTCCACCTCCTCCTTTCTGTCATCCATCGGCCGAGAACGGCGATTCTGGTTTTCCACCCTCCTCCCCCTCCTTCAAGGGACAATGCAGAAGTTCTTATCGCGTGGAAGGGGTCCCGGTATACCCAGAAAGCGGGGTATGAATAGACCACCAAGTTGCGCTGTACTCCGTTCTTTACCCCCTCCCCGTTCTTTTGGTTGAGTCCGGGTCTGAGGCTTGGGGCGCGTGCACCAGCAGGCGTATCCCCAGTTGTTCGGCTCTGCGGTAGTTCTACTGTGCTGTAGTTAAACCTAGGTGACACGATAACCTACATAACTTACCGTAGATAAGCCCCCCCCCTCCTCTGACAGACCCTCCCCTCCCCTCCCCCTCACCATCACCTCCCTGTATGACATAAGCTCCCCGGGTTCCCCTTCCCCCTCCCTCAAACAAACACAACCAAAAAAGCTCGGAGTACAAAGCAGGTACCTGCGTTGCGCTTGAAATGCTTGTATTCATGTACCTGGTAGTAACTAATTAGTCAGGCTCTCCTGTCATTTTATACCTAGGTAGAGAGTGTACACCTTCTCTGCGAATTCTAACACACATCCCTCGCCTATCTAATCCACGAAGTATCACTCTACCCAAAATAGTATATACACAAAACGCAACCACCAAGATTCGCATACAGGATCGCGTCCACGCCTACACTTACGTAGTCCTAACCTATCCAGTAATTCAAAGCAAAGATCTCTTGATCGGATCATGATCAACAAACAAACAAGATGGGGGCGGGGGGGGGTCCGCTTTTTTTTCTTTTTTTTTTTTTAGTTAGAGGTCGTTATGCTGACGTTTTGCATTTGCGGGTCCATCTCTTGAGATCGATTTGATGAGTACTCATATTTACTTGAAAAACTCGCTACAAGGATATGTGATCCTGAGAACCAGGAGAACCATCCACGGATCCTGATATTTACGGTACGTAATACCTGGCTTGATCGGGATTCTGAGTGATCTTTTATCTATTTTGCATGGGTTGCAGTGGAGGAGATGGGAGAAAGCTCGATTTTGTCTGACACGCCATCCTCTGGCCCTTTTTTTTTTGCTTCTCTGTTGCCTGTTGCCTTGCCATGAGTCATGGAGCTACACAGTAAGTTATGGTAAGATGTATGAGTATGAGTATGATTATGCGGCTGAGTGAACTCCCTGCATGACACCGGTTCTGGACGATGTGTGGCAAGTATGTGTAAACCACACATACGGATAATACAGTAGTAGTGTACATGCAAGAGCTTACGCCCCCCGCCCCGCCGATGCTAGCCGCCACAGAACAACAGAATCCCATTCCGCCTTGAATCGTGAGATAGAAGTAAGTCAGTCCAGTGTAGGCTACGGACTAAACAAGAACGGCAGATTGAATTGGCATCTCTTTTCCTTGCTCTCAATCCACGTTGTGCAGTACTTACCATGTAGCTAGGTCCTTCTGGAAGTTTCATTTTAAACCGGAACACGTTTAAAGGATTACCTGGACCCGAGAGACAGAGGACACGCACGCACACTTAGAAGCTGGCTGTCAGCTGATATGCACCGAACAGGGCAGGGTGGGTCTGGAACTCGATGCGCTGTACCTGAGCTGGAGATGATCCCTGCGTGTTTTCACATGCTTTTTTTTTTGTTGATGCGGTGGTGGTGTGTACACCATGGAATAATTGAAGTGGGCAGGATTCGTTCCTGTGATGAAGAATGGTTGTACAGGACAGTTTCAGATGTACATAACGTTTTTTTTTCTGGGGTGCCTTGAAAATGCTCTAATCCGCCAGTTTCTAGTATATTATGTGGACAAGGGGGAAAAGAAAGACCTGCGTCGTCCTACACCGTCTATCTTGCTTCATTTATCTAAGACACTGGCAATCGAACTGACCATAACCGCTGCCTCCCGTTCCCAATTCCTCCCCGTCGCCGGCTCGCCTCCTAATCGCTTTTCGGTCCCCAACACAGAGGTAGGCAGCTGGGAGCCCCGTAGGACACATTCCTTGACTTCCTTCTTGATGCGATCGCGATTTGAGCGCAAGGTCCGAGCCGACACGCCTCCGCGGTTGACGATCTCCTGGACCCGAGCCGTGAGATACGACGCCAGGGATCGCCAGAAATATGAGGGAAGGGAGGAAGTGTCGAGAGAACTGAGCAGTGGCTGGAGCAGGTTGTTCTTGCTGCTGCTGCTGGTCTGGGACGGTGCTTCACTCTGATCTCCGTCGCGGTTGGTGGGCGTAGCCACCGGCTGGGCGGCAGGGAAGAGTGGGTGTGGTGGTGGGCGAAGATGGTTGAGCACGGCCTCCAGCGCGAAGATATCCTGGCATCGCGCAGACAGGTCGGCAAGAGTTCGCTCGAGGGTCGGCAGCATCGACAATGACCGCGTAAGGTTGCTCAAGGAGGTGGAAATGGCCGTGTGCATGTACCCCTGCAGCGTAGAGAGGAGAAGCTCGGGGACGAAGTCCGCCACGGAGCTCAACGTCTTGGGCACCGGCGACAGTAGATACAGGATGTTGACGGCGGACACCAGCCGGGCCCTCGCATCGCGCGCTTGCCTGTAACCGGACTGCGTCTGGGAGCTCGCGCCGCCGGAGATGTTCGACATGGAGAATCGCGTGATAGCCTGCTGCGCCCGTGCCTTGACCATGTTCTCGGCCGGCAGGACGAGCTCCGCTCTCAGCGTCCGGACCACCTTGACACGGTCAAGACCGTAGCCTTCCTCGCCCGGGCCGGTCTCGGAGAGCATACGCCGTAGACTGACAATGGTGGACGCGGCGCGCTCCAGCGTGCGGTAATCATCCCGGCCGGTGACGGGTGACGTCGTTCCTTCGATGCCACCTATCTCTGCGAGCTGACTTTCCAGCTGTCTGCCGAGAGACAGGCAGCGCGCCACGGCTCGTGCGAGTCGCACGGTGGCCAGGGACTTCTCGGCCGCCACTCGAGCTTCGTCGGCGGCCTCCCACTTGCTGAAGACCTCTTTTTCAAGGCGCTCATACCCCTGCGTGACGGAGGCGATCTGGTCCTCGGCCTCCTTGAGGATATGACTGGCTGCATCGGTCTGGTCGCGCGTGTGCGTCAGCAAGGGGAGGGCTGATTTGGTGGTCAGAGCATGGATGTGGGTGTCGATCTCTTGGAGATCGAAGAGGACCCGCGAAAGCGGGGTAGACAGATCCAGCGGTGTGTCTGTCGCATTGTTGGTGGCTACAACAAGGGAGTTGGCGAACAAGGCGGGTGAAAAGTCGGGGTCTAGAAAGGCCTCATGATCTATGTACGATGGTTCCGCATCCGCCATGGTGGGTGTCGCTTTCACTAGCTCGCTCTTCCGCGGGGCCGGTACTCAATAAAAGAACAGAGAGCTCGAGAATTGAAGAGGTATCAGAAGAAAGAAATTGGACTGGGATGGAGGATCGAAACTCAAACGAAGCTTGGGTATCACCGTATCAAACAAAGCAGCAGGAACACAGGTTCACGGCACGGGGCTTCGTGGGAATTTGGTAGAGCATGGGGTAAACAAAGCTAGATGTAGTCAACTCTTCCATGTGACAGTCTCAGCAACAGTCATCATCGGCTCAATTGCCCTGGGGGGGTTTGATCGAACTAGCAGCAAGAAGTGACTTGGAGGCTGTATTCATGCCATGTGTCGGCCGGGATGGAGTGGACCAGAACTCGCTTGGTGGATTAGTCATCCAGCATAGAACCACTTCTATGCATCCATGGAGATGTATACATCGGTCAGCTCAAAGGTGCATTTCGAAAAACAGCTTTTATGGACCAGGAATGGGGGGTTTCTCTGGATATTACTTCATCACTCCGTGCTATGACTACATCGTCTCCTATAGAGCGCGATTTTATGTATCGATGCATCCAATTCAGCCGTTCGCAGCTCAGTCATGGTCTGTCAGCATACAAAAGCTTCCAAACATTGAGCTGAGCACCATACATTAGGCCGACTGTAACGACCCCTAGTCTGCTTACTACTAGGAAATACTCACCATCCGAGGACCTTCATATCTAGAGCCGGAATGACAGCCATCTTGACGTGTGCGACCTACACATGAGTTCGCCGCATGTTCATAACATTCGGTCCAATATCAGCCAGCGTCTGTCAAATGGTGTATTCTGGAATCTAAAATCGATTCACCCCTTTGTAGCCTATCGTCTCGACAATAACAATCAATAGTATTCCTAGAGTCAGCGTGTTTTGCCGGCTATCTATGCCACATCTCGTCCTCGCCGTCTCCCATTGAGCAGTAGTCACGACTATAGCGGCAAAACAAGCCCCCATGACTATAATCGCTTCCACCCAGCCCTTCAACCATCTATAAACATGTCACCCCCGCTGCACCTTCCTCAATATCCCCGAGACCCTCGGCATCATACTCCACTTCTCGCCCTCCTCCCTTAGCTCCACAATCTCCCAATCCGCCGACTTGAGCAGGATATCAGCAATGGGGCGATCCAAACGACACCCATCCAACGCCACAGGCCACACCAGGTTCCAGATCTCTATTCTCGCAAGTCAGCTCTTCCCTCCCCCCGCGCAGTAACTCCACATAAACAATGCAAGGGAAACATACTCTGCACGACCCAGGTAACCCAGTCCGCACTCGCCGCGTGCTCCCAGACAACCAACTCGCCCCCGGGCTTCAACAGCCGCCAGAGCTGGGCGACCACTTGCTCCGGGTGCTCGACGGAGCACAGCACGCCGAAGCTGGTCACGCAGTCGACGCTCTCGGCGACGAGCCCGTGCCTCTCAAGGGCCGCGCGGTCCATGACGTCGCAGAACACCGGCACGTACAGGGCGTCCAGCTGCAGCGCCGCGATCCTGGCGGTCAGCGCCGCGCGGAACGCCGCGTTGGGCTCCACGCCGTAGATGGCGGTGATCTGGTCGGTCTTGTATCGCTGCAGCTGGTTGCCGGATCCGGGCCCCAGCTCGAGGACGGTCCCGTGGGCGGCGGCCGCGAGCGCTGGCAGCGAGGTCGTGTCTTCGTAGGCGATGAAGTGCGGTGCTTTGCATTGGGGGAATCTATGTCAGTGCATGGCCCATGCCCAGTCGGTGCAGTTGATCAAGAATGCTAAGCTAACATACAAACTTCCATAAACCACTGCGCGAACGCGCGGCGCTGGACTGAGGTCCCCGGTTCATGGTCGGTGGATCTGTAGACCGTCCATATAGCTGGACGCCGGGGAGTGCGAGACCTTGTCAATATACTATACGTTTAGGTCCTATGAGCTGGGAGAAAGCTATACATTTGAAGGCACTAAGTAGTGGGTTGGACTTGTCAAAGTAGCTGCGGAGGCGGGCTTTCAGGTCGAACCCCATTGTAAACTAACTTGTGTGGGAGGATCGGGGGGGGGGGGGGCGTCTTATCTTTTGGTGTAGTGTACTCTGCTAACCGGGGTTGCAGGGCACGGGCAGCTTTTTATATGCGGGCGAGCGAGACGGAGCTAAGCAGGATATGGTGTCATGCTATCCAGATCCTTCTGACTCCAGTTATTTCCCGCATCCTCCCGGCACATGCTATTCTTGTGCTTATCTGCATGGTTCGGTTTAGTGCCACTATATGTGTGTGTAGCGGCTCGGTTGCGTGCGTACATTGCTGGCTGTTCGACTGCTTGGTGGTGATGTATTTTGTGCATGAAACTGGCATATTTAGTTGGATATATGTTTTATCTTTCTTTTTTTGTTATCTGTTGTACATGCTCTCTTCTATAGGCATACTTGATTTTTTTGCTTGCAATACAATCGGATATATAAATGGAGCATTCGTGAATACCTACCAACCCCACAGCATTGCAACCCTGTGGACTAAAGCGAAATAGAATTTACGCCTACATACTTAGAACAGTGCCAGGCACACCACTTCTATGTATCAGAGAGTCGACAAATTCAACCACTGACTGATTATGCTTGTACAAGACTAGACTTAATTATCAAAACTCCTATATTCCGCTTCGCTTACACGATAGATATTATTGATAGTTTATTTATCCAGAAATGCAAAGCCCTAACATCAATCCAGGCAAGATGGCCGAGTTGGTCTAAGGCGTCAGGTTAAGGTTACCTTAGCACAACAGCTTCACAGCTTCCTGATCATCGTTTGATGGCGTGGGTTCGAATCCCACTCTTGTCATTACTTTTTGCATGTTGCTCGCATGCATCCCAATGGCTGTGAAGTGGGGAGTGCCGCCTGCCCCGCACACTCCGCAGATAGAAAGAGATAAGCACCCTACGACACCAACTGTTCTGCACCCTCAATTAACAGTGTTTTTTTTGCCCTTCAATATAGATATGTGAATACTGTTCCTGGCCATGGCAAAATGCAGCTCCCACCAACAATTAAGAGCCCCATGGGTTCGTTAATCCGACAATCAATTCGATCCATCTTCAGCATTGAAGTCGCGACATACTCGATATACACTCCGGTACCCCTGCACCAGGCAGATTCACCCCCCACAAGAGCACCCCTACTGTAGAACTCTCCCATTAGTCTCCTCGACAATCAGCTCAAACTCTGGTTGGAACTCCGTGTAGAAGTTATGCTATCCATCAAATCACAATCAGCGGCACTTCTTCGACACACAAGTGACTTAAGAGGGAATTCTCACCGCGCCCTGCACAGCATCGGCCGTATACTTCGCCACCTCATCGGAGATGATCTTCTTCTGGACCCCGGTCGCAGCAGCCGCATCCGCCAACAGCTGCGAGTAACAGGCATTATCCAAGCTCGAAAAGAGGAAAGCCGCCTCATCGACCGTCCGACCCACGGTCAGAAGACTAGATGCTGGAATGTTAGCATGCCTTCCAGTCGAGGCCTCCCACCGGTTTGCGAAATAGTCGATATAGATATTCCCAGCGAGAAAAAGAGAGAGAGAGCAACATACCCGTGATTCTGCAGAATACACGCCAAATTCTCCTTCCCCAGCGCCTCGGCTATCTGCCGTCCCTCATCCTGAGCAAGAGCAATACCGCCATGATCATCGTACACACTGAGTCGGCCGAAGAAGTTGCATGCATCTGATTCATGTGGGTTCTATCATTAGCATCAAATCACCAGCCAGAAAGAAAGAAAGAAAGAAAGAAAGAAAGAAAGAAAGAAAGAAAGAAAGAAAGAAAGAAAGAAAGAAAGAAAGAAAGAAAGAAGAAACGAACCCTGCGTCAACATCTCCACCGGCTTCCCGAACGCACTCCACGTCTTCCCATACACGGAATGCGTATGCGCCGCGGCGATCACATCCGGCCGCGCCTTGTGGATCTCCGAATGAATCATGAACCCGGCCTCGTTGATGGGCAGCTGGGCGCCGCCCTCGGTGACATAGCCGTCCGCATCTACCAATACTAGGTCCGAGGCCTTGATGGTTGAGAAGTGTTTGGCGAAGGGGTTCATCCAGAAGTGGTCTTTTAGGATGGGATCTGAATATTTGATATGGGGTGGTTAGTCTGGGGCTCGTAGTATGTACTGCACTCAAAGACGCTTCTATCTATGGGAGAAGGGGAAAGGGAAGGCACCTCGCATGGAGATATGGCCCGACACTCCGTCGCCGTAGCCCTTCTTGCCAAAGTATCGAAAGGCCGCGGCCATGTGCTCCTTCATCCACTGTCGCTGGGCATAGACATCGGTGAATGTGGGGATCCCTCGCAGCTTGAGGGTGCCACTACGTGTACCCCGCGCCAGGGCCTGGAAGGCCTTATCGTTGGCGGCATCGCCGGGGTGGAAGTTGTTGTTGACGGCGGCGGGGGGGGCAACGATGGGGAGGGTGCGTTGTTCCGCCGGGGGAGCCTGGGTAATGGTCGTGGACATTTTCTGGGTCAAATTATGGGAGCTATGAAGTAGATATGAGCTATGAGAAAGACTATGACAATTGTCAGGTCTGAACGAGGGGTATCGAATGGTTTTATTACCTTTTTTTTTACTTTGACTTACTACATACCGTCAAGTAGGCAAGTGACTTCGGCCCCGCGGGATGGAATTGGGTTATCAGCTTATCTCCGGCACTTCAGATAGGCTCGTCTCGCCGATGCGCCTTCCACGAACAAATCACTTACTCTTTTGGTTGGCAGGGTTGAACTTTTACTTGCCTAATTTAACCCCCGGCCAGAAAACGTGACGATAAGGGAGTTGAGGCGAAGTCAACCACCCGCTCCATGATAAGTAATCATCTGTGCCTCCGAGGACTCTATACTGGGTAAATTGCTAGTATTCCCCGGCCCGCATCTCTTGGAGCAGTGGTATATCAACCATATTGCCCGCACATATGCTATAAATTGTAACCAGACCGAGTGCTCCAGGTCATCAAGAAGTAAACATATATAAGACAAAGAGAAGGAAAAGTAAAATGAGAGAAACAAATACTACCACAGCAACGCCATCTATACAGGTACCAGCCAGCCAGGGTATACATGAAGAAAAGAAGAAAAAAGGACAACTGTGCCGGGAAAATCGCTCAATGCTACATTGACAAGCATATGTGCACCCCTCTCTCCACACTCACCAGAAAAAGCAGGAAAGGCAGCCGGATAGCCATGAGGCTACACAGCCTGATCACCCGTGCCCTTCAACAGGCCCATCTCATATTCACCCCCCCCATTTGGAAGGTTGCGGCCCCGTCCTCGACCCCGCGACAGAGAGAAGGACTCGTCGGAACCCTCAACCTGGGGCTGAGACGAGCCTCGCGCCGAACGCCCCGTGTTGTTACTGCCGGACATGCCCCCGAAGCTGATCGGTTGCAACTCCCGCCACCGACACGCCCAGATCCCCAAAAACGTCATGAGGGCGGCACTGGCGCACTGCAGGCCCCACCATAGCCAGTTCGAGGGCACGGAGCGGGTGTAGAAGACGGTGATGACAAGGTGCAAGAAGTGTATCGTGAGCGCAAAGTCGGGAATGAGTTTCGAGCGCGACACGAGAAGTAGAAGATATATCACCCTGAGCGCGAGCGAGCACTATTAGCAACTCCCATCATCTGTACAGGGGAGCAATGGGGATGGAGGGGGGGGGGGGGGGGGGGCCAGGACTTACCCTATCCCACTGTTCAACATCCATACCAACCCCAGCATCCACCCTACAGTTGTATCCCCTCTCAAGGCATTCCAATTCAAGACGAGGTCAAATGAGAACGGAGTGCCGTAGACAATTGTTGTAAATAGTATCAGAGCTGTCGCGGACACATAGTAGGCACTTTGAAGTAGGGCGATCTTCCGCACGATCTTCAAAGGTGGGAGGTCAGTCCGAGCCCCCGCAGGAGGCGGACGTCGGCGCGGGGGCATGAATTGCAGATGTGCTTGTAGTGCTTGCGGTAAAAAAAATGTTCCGTCGAGTTTCCTTTCACCGAGATTTCGCGCGAAAGACTGGTGAGAGGTTCAATGCGTTCGGTGGTGGCAGGACTGCCCGTCGGGCCTTGGATATGTCGTAGGGTTTCGCCCGCCGTGAAAGTCAAACTGCCTTATATACAGGTTATACCGCAGGGATCACGGGCAGAAAGTTCCAACCTGCTGCAGCTAGTATGGCGACAATAAAAGACTCGAAGAAAATGTCGCCAGGTGGCTGGAAGTGGTGGGAGGTTTGTTTGTGAGGATGAAAGGTGGTGGACGGGATAGGCTAGCGCCACATGACCCGGCCGTCATTGCGGAGCGGAGCGAGCGGGCAGTGCGAATATCCTACAGGGCGTCGCTGCCCTCCATACGAGGCTTGCTCAAGGTGTCTTCAATTCTGCATTTCGCACCGCCATCTCGCCCCATTCTTAACAGCTTCCTAAAGGCTTCTTCTCTCAGTTTTCTGCTCTCGGTTTTTTTTCCCTTTCAGCAATCCTGCGCAATGGGCTGGCTTCCCTGGTCTTCCGATTCCTCCTCCAACGCCGCCTCCGACGGCGGCCGCATAGCCCCCGATCGATCCTCCCGGCAACGGTGCTACGAAGGTCGCGACCTGTTCTTCTCATGTCTGGATAGGAACGATATCTTGGATGCTGTCAAGAATGACAAGGAAGCGCAGCGGAAGTGTGGAAAGGAACTTGCACAGTTTGAGACTGTCTGCTCGAGAGCTTGGGTGCGTTGCGCATAAACCCTCCCGGACCCAGGTTTCAACCGATCGGTCACCCTGGCTCTGCAAGACCAACCCAAGACTGACCGGAATGCTGAATAGGTCAAATACTTCAAGGAAAAGCGCGTCATGGAATACAATCGGGACAAGACAATCGAGCGCATCAAGCAGGAAGACGCAGCTAAGGTCGAGGATCTGAAATCACAGGGTTGGACTGCGCGGTAGAATGGGGTCATCTAAGTGACAATCCCCCCAAAGAAAAACGTATCGGGTGATAGAACGGTGCTATCAGCCCGAGAACATCCAAACTGTACTATATCGACTTTTCGCCCACCGATGTATAATGACTTCCAAATGAGGCTTTGGGCTAACCACTTACCCTGTGTCACAATATTTACATACTCTCCACTACTCTGCCAGGAATACCAAGTTATTAGCATTATCGTGTGCTTGCATTTCTCTAGCGAGACTGAATAAGAGACGCCCAGTATGGTGCACGGGATCATAATAAGAATAGATACAGATGACCTTTGTAATACAACACACTCTCCCCAATGCCTGACCAATTTTCTGTAAAAAAAGAAATTCATCCATTGCACTCCCGTAACAGTTGCTCGCTGATTCGACCGATGCGAAAGAAACAGAAACCCCAACAACCGAGCCATGATAATATATCCACAAGTAACATTGATTATCCGACTCTCGACGGATCAATCAATTAACGCCCGACTTTCTGAGACGTCGCCAAAGACCGCAGGTCAGAGAGAATAGAAAGAAGAAAAGAAAGAAGCGAGGTGAGGAAGGTAGTCGAGAAGAGAGCATGCATCACTGCTTCCATTTACCCAGTTGATGCATAATGTTTTGTACTTGGTGGCCAACCGCAGCCTGGTTCTGCGACTGTTGGCCTCCCAGACCTTTCGCAAGCAATGAGATCAAATTAGGATCCGACACCACCGGAGCGTTGGGTGTCTGTAAAGGAAAGGGCTGGGGGGCTAGCGGCTGCTGCGGATTTGCCGCAATGGGCTGTCGGGTTGCAGCATTCAGAAGACTAGCAAGATCCGCGGTAGTATGCGGGGTGGCGGCAGCAGGGGCAGCAGCTGCATGGGGAAATGGCTGTTGCGCGCCGGGAACAGTTGACGGTCGCTGCTGTTGCTGTTGGAGTACTCCCAGAAGCGATTGAAGAGTAGGTCCATCGAGAGATGTAATCAAATTCGCGATGTTAGGCTGGTTTGGCACACTAGGCAAAGCAGCCTGAGGCACCGAGGCAGCCGGAGCAGGGAGAGGAACACCAAACGCCGGGTTTGGTGTGAATGGATGGGGCCCACCACGTTGCACGGTTTGCGCATGGAACACGATCTCAGCGGCGATGCTAGGTTCAACATCGGGGTATTCTGACCTCATGTTAGATGACACTTATTCCTCGTGAAAGACAACCAGCACGACAGGCGACAGCTTACCATTTGACCGAACATTGTCCTGACCCCCACTTCGATCAAACACCTGCAGCGGAATCTTTCTCGAAAACTGGCTCGGTCGTGATAGTCTGACTATAGCGAGGACACCCTCCTGGATCTGGCGTTGAACTGCAGCGCTGAGTGGGATCCTTGGTCCAAGTACTAGAATATCGACCCGAAGCCCCCGGTTGCGGAACGAGTTCTCAACGTGGAACAAGAAGTTTCTGGACTAGGGCGTTAGCAGAGCGGTTCCGATAATTAACATGCAAAACGGTAGGACACATTTGACTTACCGATCGACTTCTTCAAGAACTAGGAGCTGCACTTCTGGGACATCCCTTGGAGCTCGTCGGGGAACCGGTATGTCTGTCTCTGATTCATACGCCCCACGTGCCCGCGGACTGGGGCTGCGGTACCTTCTATCCCTGGCGTATGGAGACCGAGAACGCCGCCGCTCACGTCGTTCATAGCGCTCAGGAGTCCGATCCCGGGACCTGTACCCATCCCTGCCGCGGAAAGCACGTGGTGATGGTGACCGAGGTGGACGGTAGTCATCGCGTCGCCGATGGGTCGGTTCGTCCCTGAAGTCGCTGAAAGGCACTCTGCCGGATTCATATGGTCGGTCATAACGCTCGCCCGGAACTCGCGCGTTGCGGTTACCAGAAGGACCGCCTCGACTATATTCAGGGGACCTTGATCGTCTCGAAGGGGGCGCACGGGGCTGTTCCCCGGACGCAGTTCCAGGTCTAGTGTTTCTCTGAGGCTTCGAGATTTCAAGATCTAGAAGGGGTTTCATCATTAGCCTCCAATTTGCCCGTAAGGAGTCTATCGGCTATACTTACGAACTTTCCGTCCTCTGACTACGGCTCCCTGCTCCGAATCTAATGCATTCTTGCAAGCAGAGGAGTCTAGGAACTGAATGAATCCATATGCCTGCTTGATCGAAATCTGAGCGAGTTTGCCGAACTTGTGAAAGATATGGAACAGATCTCGTTTCGTGACGCGTTCTGTAGGCAAATTGCCTGCACACATAGTAGAACGGGACAAATTAGCCGGGTGGAAAACGAAGGCGATTGGGCCGTGTGGAGGGGTACAACTCACCAACAAATAATCTAGAGCCAGGCGGGAAACGATCCCAAAGGCCTTCTGTGACATATATCCTCTCATCATGAAGAAACTCGTCGTATTTCTTTTGTACTTCAGGACCCCAAGGAGTATCTTCATCGGCGTTGCTTTTGGACTGTCGAGTACTTATCCGTTCCGCACGACTGTTCTTAGTGGCCGTGGCCGGAGCAGCGGCGGTGGCAGTAGCAGCAGCACTGGGAGCAGTGGCAGCAGGGGCGCCAACAGCAGCAGACTCTTGAGGCTCTGCATGCTGGAAGCTTGCCACAGGGGGAGGGGGCAGCGCGCTGACTCCCGCAGAGGTTCCCGGGGCGCCAGCAGCTGCCAAAGGCGATACTCCCAGGTTAGACTGGTAATTATTACTTTGTTGGGCGGGATAGGAAGGGGAGGAGGGCTGTGCGGTGGAGGAACTAGGGGGAAGCTGGTGGTAGGAACGAATGTCATCACTAGCATTGTAGTTGGGATGGATAGAGGGTTTGTCTTGGGGAGGAGGGCGCGGGGGAAGTCCCAGGTCGTCCGTTCCGGCTTGGGAGAGCGCAGATGCATCGGCCGTAGATGGGGCGGTTTCTGCCACGGTAGGGGCAGAGAAAGCAGTAGAGGAGGGGGGGAGATTATCGAGGAGGTTTTGGAAATCGACACCATCCTCACCGGTGCTATCAGCGGGTTTGTTCTGGGAGACTAGGCGATCGGACGGGGGAAACGAGGTCGTCCAGCTGGCAATAGCAGGATCTACCTCACTCGCACTGGGGTAATTCTGGGCGGCATGGGAAGAAGAGGGAGGGACATCGGGCATAGGGTGAGCTATGATGGCAGCGGCATCTGATGGAGGCAATGTGGTTAGAGAAGAGTTTGTGGCTGTTGTTCCTAGGATCGTAGAAGTGTACGGATTCGAGGGTGCAGATCGATCTGACGGCAGAGACGCCTTGGGGATAGTGGCCACAGCAGGCATTGTGTGATTATTTCGGTTGTTCACCGAACCCTCATCCAGTATGAAAGAGCCAAGTTGGAAGCTACCTTGTGCGTGGTGATGGTGATGATGATGATGATATGAATGATGGGTATAGTGCGGCGGCGGCTGTTGCTCCGGGGCTTGTTGCGCGGAGCCGGTCGCATTTCCCCTCATTGCTTCAAACCCAACATAAGGGCCTTGGGATGCATAGGGATTTAATCCATTTTGATGCGCCTGGGAGTTGAGTCCGTGATGATATTCGGAGGACCTCTCATAAGTCGAAGTGTCATTGAAGACAGGATCCATTTGATTTTGGAGCACCGGGATTCTGGCCGGCTCCGCGACGTGCAGCGGACGAGGGCTTTCGGGAGTCAAGGTCTTGCCTCGGAAGTGGAGAGCTTCATCTGGGGAATTGGGCGTCATGTAGACCAAGGTCGAGAGGACGAGTCATCTACAAAAAAAGACACGCAGAGAAGGACCAGAAGGACCAGAAAGACCACAGGAGAGATAGGGATTTTGGAAAATCGTCCAAGCTAAGGTGGGGCTATCTTGAAAAAAGAACCGGGCCGTTGGAGCCGGGGCGGTAAAGGAGACGATGCGATGGCAAAAGACGGACGGACGGAGGCGAGGAAGACGAAAGTGTGTGTGTAGGGAGAAAGAGGGAGAGGAGAGAGGGAAAGAAGGGGAGAGTATCTCCTGATAGAGCGATGAAAATACCCACGAAAATGTCAAGGTCGGGTGAACTCCCAAGTAATAATGGTCAAAGGGTAAATCAAAAGCAAGAAAGTACAGTACAAGTACAGTAGTTGTGAGGGGGAGGAATCGGAGGAGAGGTAGAAAGTAGGAGGGAGAGAGAGGGAGGAGGGACGGGTGGAGAGGGAGGGGGGAAAAGAGGGTGGTGGCAGGAAGAGATGGGAAGGAAAGAAACACCACCTCACCACCACCACAACCACCACCACCACCACTACTACCACAAGGTTTGCGTAGAGCAAAAGGGATCTAGTAATAGAACAAGTAACAGGGATAGACAGAGTGAAGACGAGCTGGTTTGTTCAACCATACCCAAGCACTCAAGAGTAAATAAGAGTGATGCTGGATGGCGTACTGTACGGGGTAATGAGCTTGGAAATAATCCCGAAAGAAGTTGGTACGAAGTAGTACTGTAGTCTACTACTTAGTAAGGAGGTGGGAGATTGCCCTGAACTTGCCGGAGCTGACTACTCGAGTACAGTAAGTTACTTGCTGTACCTAGTAGTGTAGTATCGGGGAGGAAAGAGGAAGTGAAGATGTGAGTGAGTGAGTGAGGTTAGGACTCAACACACACGCCAGGTCATTATTACGGGAGAATGGTCAGAGTTTGCGCCAGTCAGCTTGATCCCGCAGTATGAATGGCTAGCATTGTCACTAGCGGCGGGTCAAGGCGCGCCTAGATTTTCTTCTGCTGGAACTGCTGGAACTGCTGCGACTGCTGCAATTCCCTCCCACCATCTAAACTAAGAATAATCGCTAAGTCAACTATCGGTCTGTCACCGAGTCCAGATTCATGGCTCCGATGGGCCTCTTCCGTGTATATGTCTGGGTTAGGTTAAGCTTACAACAGCTGGACATGTCAAGTGACTACCTGTTTTTTCGTATCGTAGTTGTCTTTAGTAATAGTTTACAATTGTGGCTTGATAGAGATAATTGTACTTAGTACCTTACCTCATAACTCGGATAGTCTCGCGTAACAACGAAGTGAGGTTGAATAAGAGCCTTATGGGCACTGGCGGGAACTACTACCACTAACCTTGACACCAAGCAATAACTTATCTGCCCGACCGAGCCGACCTTTAAATCGGGGTAACTTTAGTAGTCTAGCATCATCTTATTCATACCATTCTTACCGCTAAGGAACGGGCCCTTATGCTCGATCCGTACAGCTACCTCGCTAGAGTCGCTACAGCTAGACTAGGTACGTTCTGGAAGATCCTCCTCGTGCTTGTTATTGGTTAGCATCTCATCCTTAATTCAATGTCCCCTCCATCCCCAATCCCCCTTCATCCCCTCCCCGTTTCCAATTACGTGCATCTGCACCACAAACTGCAGTATTTCGGGATTTCTCTTTGACAGGCACGCACCCGTCACTTTCTGCTATGGCTACCGCGCTCCTCCATAATTCTCCCCGTAGTCTTCTTTGCCTTCCTGTTCGCCGCGGTCCTCTCCTCCTTTCTCAGATTGCCAGCCCCACCGTCGCAAAAAGACCCTTTGCGTCCAGACGGTCCGCCGCTATCAAAGATGAAGACCAGGTATCGGAAGATGACCTGAGCGCCGCGCGTCAATGGCTAGCTAGCTTCAGCTCCAAGACAATCCCGCGTGACATCTGTGAAGTCTCCTTCAGTCGTTCGGGTGGCCCGGGGGGTCAAAACGTGAACAAGTCTGTTCCCGCCTTGAAAGCCGGTTCATCCCGGTGTTAACTACGAATAAGATGTGGAGTACCGTCCGACTAACGCATGTACCTCTATTGAATATGAGCAGGGTCAACTCGAAGGCCACCTTAAAGGTGTCGCTTGATTCATTACTGCCACTGGTGCCCCGGATCTTGCATTCCCCGCTGCAAGCAACCCACTACATCGCACCGAGGACTCGCAGTCTGGTTATCCAGTCAGAAGAATCCCGCAAGCGGAATGAAAATGTGGAGTCGTGCTACGACAAGCTCCACCAGCTTATCAAGAGAACAGCGTTGGATGCTATCCCTGGGGAAACGTCGCAAGAGCAAAAAGACCGAGTCCAAAAACTGTATGCAAACATGATGACTGCTTGGTATTCATGAAACAAGACGCGGCTCTTAGCTAACACTATACAGGCAAAAGGCCGCAAACGAGGCTCGTATCAAATCGAAGAAGTTCCTCAGTAGCAAGAAGAGTAGCAGACGAGGCAGTAAAGACGATTAATACAATGCTAACTTTTTCATAACCCCTCATGCTGCTTGCTAACGCAGTCTGAAAATGGTAAATCCCGTTCAACGCCTGCACATAACTTGAATAATATTGCATAAAATCTAAAGTCCCTGAACAACGCGCTCTGCATTTCGGATAGTGGCAGAAATGGCTTTGTGCAGTGAAGGATCCAGGCCTTCGGTCTTCTCGAGTGGTTGCAACCAGCTGATGACCTCCTTGGCCACAGAGGGGTTGTTGCGATGAGCCGTAAGACGGCCGAACGATGCGGCAAAAGCACGCGGGAATTCAGGCGAAGTCACTTGTACTCCTGCTGTGGGGAGCTTGATATGACAGATGTGTGTATGGGGACTGTCGGGCTTCGCTTTCTGCATGGAATCAACCACATGCTGCAGAATCTTGCGCAGGCATGGCAGGTCGTCGTATTCGGTCGCCATATCATAGAACTCATGGCCAAATCTGTCATCGTCGTTGAAATTCTTCATGGCTGTTTCAAAGATGGCGATAGGGATGGCGCCGCTCAGGGCGGGTGTCGAATTAAGGGCTTCAAGCGCCGCTTCATCCACTTCATTCTCATCCTCAGCGCTGGGATTGATATCTTCTCCGGTGATCGTTGGCAGCCTAATCATATCTGCATCCATGTCATCCAGAGGCTCTTCTTCCTTTCGAGCCTTGACGGGCTTGTCGAGTCCCAAGATCCGCTGTCGAGCAACAAGTTTGGCAATGTAGAACATCTCGAGTCTTCCATAAGCGAGCCACAATTTCTTCGAGCTTTTGCAAAACCTCAGCCCGCGCTGCATGTAGCTTCGAGACTGTGTCATATCGGCGTGATCTTCCACATTATATTGTGCGGCATAGATCCACAGATCGACATTGGTCGGATGCAGTCGCAAGGCATCAGTGAGGATATTCGAAAGCTTCTTGTAGGACTTCTGTTGTCTGGTATATTCAATGTACTGAATCCACAGCCCGATATCACCGTGGAACTTCCGTGTCGCACGGTCAAGAATGAAGAAAATCCTCCTCTGCCCGGTATGGCCGGGCATCTTGATACCCAGGCGTTTCACTCTCTTCCGTCGCAAACTGTCCAAGTTCATTTCATATTGGGCATATCGTATGAAATCAGACGGGAGGGCACCGCGGGCATTGAGCTTATGCTCGAAATCAGATCTCTTCTTGACAATCGCCGAGATTTCTTCCTAAAGTCCGATTAACGATTTGCATCAGTTTTTGCGGCCACGACCAAATGGCCGAGGGGCTGTCTGAAATAGTACCTTGGAAAAGATTTTCTTCCTCTCGTACTCTCTAAGCTCTGGAACTGACTTCTCCAGATAGAAGCGCGCTTTGTCAGTAGCGTTGGACATGGTTGCGATGGTTTGAGCCCTGATCGGATGGTTCTGAGCAGATCGCAAGTCCTGTCAGAATAATATGGCAAAAAAAAAGTGGTCGGCATCCCGCACGAGATCTCCGACTATCATGGTCCCTGGCCGCCTGCCTATTTGGCACTAGTATCATTTGCGCGCCCGCGTGGTTGCCGAGCCTCCAATCCGACCGAGGGTCATCCCATTCAATCCATCCATCCCATCTCACCTCAGGGGGGTTTGTGTCTCTTGGAAATTGACTTGTTGTTCCATTCCCCGGTCGAATCAGTCTCTCTCTTTTCTTTCTTTTATCTCTTCTTTCTTAAATCTTCTGACACTCGTTATCCTACCATAATTCGAAATTTCTACAATTCTGCCTCAATCGCCTCATTAACCGGAGCTCGAGCCCGGTGTCTCCTGCCATATCATGGCACCCAGATATAAAGATGGGGATGCCGTCGTGGCTGTTAGTTTCTATCTCAATTCGTAAAATGGCGCCGTCTAATCGAACCTCCGACACAGATAAATGGAAAATGGATCTCATGGACTCACACTGCCGTCGCCTACACGGCCTTCTTCAGTGCCCTGGTGGTGGGGATGTCCTTGCATTTCCACAAGATCGTCCAGAACGAACACTACGGTTATCCTGATGAATGGTTTCCTTCCGTCTCAGCGACCATTGGCGATCGCTACCCCGAGCGGTCTTTCTTCCAAGTATTTATTGCTATCACTTCCGGACCTAGATTCGCCCTTGTCTTCTTATGGTATCTCCTTACAGCCCGTCCGAACTCCGCTCTCCCCAAGCTGGTTGCTGGTGTCGGATTGTTTCGGACATTCACCTGCGGAGGGTGGACATATGTGACCTCGACTGATGATCACGACTGGCATGATATCTTCATGATCTCATACTTGGTCGCGACTCTGCCTTGGACCCTCGGCTGCCTCGCTTTGAGCCCGAATAACCGCCAGGCCGTCAAGTATCGGAAGATCTTCGCCGGTCTTTTCTTCGGCACCCTCGTGCCATTGATCTACTACTTCATTCAACACAAAGTGCACAAGGTTCCTGGAGGTAAGTCTCAAGTGCAACCGCAGCTTACTCGGCTTGTGTCTAACCTCTCTAAGCTTATACGAAATACGCTTTCTTCGAGTGGTCGCTTATTCTGTTCGACGTGGGATTCGACGCGGTTACTGCGCTTGATTTCGAAGCATTCGAGATTGTTGTAAGGGACGTCAAGGGGGTCAGCAGAGGGTATGTACAGTGGCTTCCAAAATAAATCACAAGGGAGAGGGGGAGAGAGAAATGTACAGTTGCCAAAAAAGAAGTCGGTGGTGGTGCGCTTGAAAGACGTGATCTAAGCTCTTTGGGAAAACATCTAGGCAGTTGAAGACCACTGCGGACTCCGTTCTTGGAAAAGAGTGTGTATAGCCTGTTCTCCAACAATTTCAAGGATCATTGCAGTTGACTCGTAGTCAGGAAGGGCAAGCCTGTCGGCAACACCTTTGGCGAGGGATTCTTCTGGACAGAGGTCATCGATGCTGCTGCGGAAGTCTACAATGGGGTAAACATCTCTTTCTGCTGATTCGCCCCAGAACCTTTGCTAACGAAGTGTAGTTCATTTTCTGGACCCTCTGCACTGCCCTTCCTGTCCTCGTTTGGTGTAAGTGACGGTTACAAAACCCCGGAACGTGCATGGCTAATCGCACTAGACTTCCCTCTCTGGCATATGGGTATCTCCGGATACGAGGCTGCCATCGTCTCATATCTGTCACCTATCCTTCTCGCCATTCCAGCTCTGAAATCCGCGGTGGTCAAGAACCCTCGTCTTTTCCATCTTCTTTCGTTGTCCGGACTTCTAGCATACAAGATTCAAGACCCCGCCAACCGGCTCTTCTTGACTTCTTTCAGCGTTGTCTGTAGTTGTATGACATGGGCCGCCACGCTCTACGCTGAGCGTGGAAACAATGCCAGGCTGGAGTCGCGGGTCTTTGCGTGGGGCACCGGTCTGATCATGTCGAGCGTTGCCAAGTTCGCCTGCACCACGAACAACCCAGTCTGGCCGATTATGCATGCGGAGAATGGTGGATGGAACAAAATTGGACTACTACTTGCCATTCTGGCTGTTCTGCGATCTTACAGAAGACCTGCGACAAGTGGAGGTGATTACCTGCCATCCAGCGGCAAGAAAGGCTCCTGGCTTCCGGCTGGATTGGGTATCGGAGCGTTGGTCTTCGCCATGCACTACCTTCTTTCTGATTCTAGCACCATGATTGCCTGGGTCTGGGAGGGATATCCTGTGCGCGGACCTATCGCGGCTCCTCACGGTGCCCTCACCATCTTTGCCATGGGCGCCGGCCTTGTCTATGGTCTCTTCTATCCTGCCGCGGCTGGCAGCTGGACGGCATACGGAATCGGTTCTCTCGGCGCGGCATTCCTTACTTGCTACAGCCACTGGACTGGATTCTACGGTGCTCTTGTCCTTGCTTTCTACTTGCTCGCAGTAGCCCCGGTCCTCATCTCTTCTGCTGTTCGGCACTCGCCGGCGGCTACCTTTGGACTTGGTTTCTTTGTTTATATGATTCTCGTGCTGTTCCATGTCTGGGTTGTTGCCTACGCCTTCGTCCCTGGTGGATACCTTGTTAGAGAACACACTGACTGGATCATGATCACAACCATGTTGTGTATTGGTGCTGGTGTCTTTTCTGCTGCAGTCTCTAGTTCACACAACTCACGGAGCAAGATCGTCAGCCCCAACGGCAAAAGACAGCGCTCCTACTTTATCTATGTGCTCGCGGCCCTTCAGCTTCTGTCTATCTCAATTGCTTACCTTCGGTTCCCCACAAACGACTACACTCCCTATCACAAGGAAGACAAGGTTGCTACTATGGGTATCTGGACGGTGCACTTCGGCTTGGACAATGACATGTGGGCTTCGGAGAGGCGCATGCGTGATGTGATCCAAGAGCTGGAGCTTGATGTGATTGGCCTGCTGGAGTCCGACAACCAGCGTATCATTATGGGCAACCGTGATATCACCCAGTTCCTGGCAGATGACCTCGGCATGTACGCTGATTTTGGACCTGGTCCCAACAAACACACGTGGGGATCTGCCTTGCTGTCTAAATTCCCCATTGTCAACTCTACTCACCACCTCCTTCCCTCCCCTGTTGGCGAGCTTGCTCCTGCCATACATGCTACCCTCGATATCTATGGGGAGTTGGTCGATGTCGTTGTCTTCCATTCGGGCCAGGAGGAAGACCCTGAAGATCGTCGCCTGCAGTCCGAATACCTGTCTAACCTGATGGGCTCATCGGACCGTCCCATGGTTCTGTTGAGTTATCTCGTCACGAAGCCGCTTGAGGGCAACTACAACACATATGTTAGCGAGACAAGCGGCATGAAGGATATTGACCCTACCGATTGGGACAGATGGTGCGAATACATCCTTTTTAAGAAATTGAAGAGAACAGGCTATGCCCGTGTCAGTCGGGATTCTATCACCGACACGGAAATCCAGGTAAGCCCTCTTGACTGGTAGATTCAACTCGTTCCCTGCTGATAGATACGTGCGCCAGGTCGGTAAATTTGTGATTGGTGAGCCTGAGCCTGAGAGCGAGTTGCGTATTCCCGAGGAGATGGTCCCCAAGGGCCGTCAATTCCCCGCCCTGTTCCGTGGGCAAGGTGTACGTGGCCATCGGTATCATGTGTTTGACGAACCTAGGTACTGGCAATGAGCGTGTGTCTGCGAAAGTCTATGCATTGGTTTCATAGGAGGCGCGAATCATGCTATATCATTCCTGAGTATATTCCCATGAGACAAGCATACCAGCAACTAGTGGCTCATTAGTATAGCTTGGTTGCTATGATTATGTACTGTGAATCGAATTGCAAATAATGTACATTTACCCTTTACTGTAATTTTGTGAATCGGTCACCGTGATCTGATCTGCTTGGAGTGCATAGCCAAGGCCGGGACTCATCTGCAGACCAAACAGTCTCGACAGTCACCATCAGTGTCTAGAGAATCATGAGCTTGAGTCCGAGGATGTCGGATGTTGGATGGAAATCAACGCATATCCTACGACCAGCTGACCCTCCGACCTCTTTCTCTGTGATGTTATATTAAGTAATTGATCATTCGAATGTAACGTAGTTATCAATAACTCTTTCAATTCGACTTCGTCTCAACACGCGAGGTCGCCACCCCAGCTGGAGGTGAGGAATGTGAGAAAACATGTCGCCAGGGCTGGGGTGACATAATGCATATGACAAAAACGAGGCATGAGGGCTGGGGTGAGCTCTTTGCTTCAATGCCTCTCTGAATTTCCACATGGCGTTGGGACTGGTCTTCCCCTCACCCCCCCTTTTCTTTCCACCCTCGTGGGTTGTCGATGAACGACGACTTCCCCGGATGGGGAAATCATCCGGCCACTTCCTAACCTCCCTTTCCAACTACCTTTCACAGCCTCTCAAGACATGAAGAACCCCTCTCTCACTCAGACATGAGCAGCCTACATCAATGCAATAGGGTGAAAGTACCCAACAAGAAGAACTTCCTTACAGCTTTGAACTCGTTAAAGCAAGCAAACAAGCTAACTTATGATGAACCTACATTCCAGACGCCGCAGTATCAACGGCGCACTGGGACAGCAGTGGGTGATCCACGAAACATCCAATTGTGCAATGAGGAATCCTCCGAAGAATGCTGTCCCTCCACCTTCTTTGTTGATCTTCCCCATTTCCCCCGATCTGATCCTCCGCGGGCGAACGACGAGCACCCGACCAGGTCAAAATAACTACGCTCAAGAGGAGGATGCAAGTGGAATAAACCTTATAGGGAAAGAATTCCACGAATACAAGACCATACCAGGCACAGGCCTGATCTCGAGAGAAAAGACCGTGATCAGGGTTACTGGGCAAGGAAGTAGCATGATACGAGAAGGTCAAGGAGGGATTCCTTGACGTTATCAACCTTTTATTTACTCGCGTGTTTCCCCCTCGATATTGAGGAGCAATTTATTGAAAGTGCCTCTGGGACTTGTCCGTCTCTCAACTTTGGCTCCAGGAAGGATTACGCGTGTTCAATCCCGGGACTAGAATCTGTTTCTCCAGCTGGTGCTGTCATCAAGGGACTGGGTATGCATTGGGTTCTGATCAAAGCTTTGCGGCCTCCTGTATTGTGTTTTCACACACGTGCTGCACACACTGACAACTGACATGGGAGAAGAACTGGGGTGAGTATCTGGGGCTCGATCAAACTGTTCTACTCCCTATGAGACAGTATGTTCCTGACTGACATGAGAAAGCAGATCAAGCTAGCTTTGTGTTTATCCCACTTCGAAGCAAAGTCAACATTGCTCCAGTTGGTACGCCCAGGCATTGACCCGCGTAATCAACAAAGAAACCTCAGAGTCTAGTGCATTGCACTCATTCTGCTTCCAACCTTGGATATATCAACCGCCGGAAAGTGAAAGACTCCCGAGAACGTTCTTTGTTCCAGTCAACCACACTTCCTGTTACCGAGAGTAAACTCACGCTCGCGCTCGCGCTTGCGCTCGCCAGCAGAAAAAGGAGCTCATTCAAACGATACATAAGGTATTTTCCTAACTTCAAAGCTGAATTTCCACTTTGAATATCCTCCTACTCTGTTACTTGGACTCAATTGATTGAATCTCACAGCTACCATCTGTTGTACACATCTTCATCTTATTGTCTGAGGAGATAGATTTTAGATGTGAGTATGAAGTCGATTGCTCGCGCCTGACTCAACCTCATCTATTCTGGCTTCTCGTCCTGACTCATTATAGAGCCACCATGGCGGACAGACTGCCAGAACAGACGACGGGAGAATTGCCTCCTGAAAGTCCTCTATGGACGTATGATATAGCAAATGGCAAGGCTCTCAACGCAGGGCTCCCGAAACTGCCCGGATTGAACGTTGAGATTTTTTTCGGCGAAAAAAATAATCGTCCGCGGTGGTTGATAGTACCTGCACCATGGACGGTACTTCCTAAGGAAACTACCCCTGGTGGAACAGGCCTAGAGGAGAAACGTGCTGACCCAAAGAACCCCAAATCCAATGGCGAGGAAATCTTTTGTTGGGGATTCGATCCTCCTCCCGAGCAAAAAGGCGACCGAGCGCTTTATAGACATGCCTATGACGCGCTCCGAGAGGCCCTCCGCAATCCTAAGTTTAGGGAAGAAGCGAGAGATTATATCCAACAGCGATTTTCAAACCTCATGCAGAATAGGGAGGACGTGCTCCCACGACTTCCTATGCCCCCCGATGGTCGACCGTCCCTGAAGCGACAGGAAGCCATTCCAGATGCCGCCAGCCCGCAGTACAGTTGGTTCGATCGCCCGATGCTAGTCTCGAAGCCTGGGTCAGCTATATCTGCCAGCAATCCCTTCCCAGGGTTCGCACCTCCAGTCCCGACTTTCGAAGCAACCTCTCCCTCATATGGTGAGTACAAATGGATATGGTTCGTCGTCATCATCTTGCTCCTAGCAATGTTCCTTTGTTTATTCCTGTATGCGTTCAAGATTCTAAGATAAGAAGTGTTTATGTGTATTTGAGGATACTTTCAACTTTGACCAACGGCAAATCACCCCTTCCCTCCAAAATTAGCTTAAGTATGGACAAATGATCCAACCCAAGCTCAAATGTGGTCAAAATTTCCCTGGTAGTCTAAGTTTCTTGGTTGTCCGATGAGTTTCTTTGCCAGGATTAGCACCGAAAGATTTCCGCCGTCTCTGCTCACATTCTTCATGATACATCCCTTGCATCCTTGCATTCCTGTTCCCCATATTTGCTTGCGTGCTATATACCTCGCAAGATGCTGATTGCTCTGTGTATACACTCAGAGTACGATGACGATGATCCCGCAGAAGCCGCTAATCCCGCTCCAATACCAGGCCCCTCAGATGGGGATACTGAAACTCACGCCGAGGTGGCTGACGAGGGCGGCTTGTATACAACACAACCATGTAAGGGCAAAACACGGCAACAGTTTTTTGTATCAGCTTTGAAATCCATCTGACTAACCAATCCACCGGCAAACTTTTAGCTGCCCTGTTGAGCAACCAAGAAAACATCCCCAAATCCAAGCTACCAGGCCCGATACCCACCACCCAGACCGGCCAGCAAGTCCCAAAGGAAGCAGCAGCAGCAGCAGCAGCAGCACCACCACCACCACGCAAGCTACCGGATCCACTACCCACCAATCAAGCCGGGCAGCAAGCTTCAAAGCAAGCACCACCACCACCACCACCACAAGGACCAAATCCGATCCCCACCAACCAAGCCAAGCAGCAAGTATCCAACCCACCACCAGCCCCGGAGCAGGAGGGGGAGGAGGAGGAACTTGAGGAGGAAACAAGCTCAAACTCCAGCGCCGACACCAGTGTCATTGACAAGGAAACATCGCCGTGGCACAACCCTGAGTACACGGATCAGCTAGTCCAGGAAGCGGCCGACAAGCTCCTGGAGAATGCCGAGGCGTACTGGCCGCCAGAGCGGATCCATCGCCGGATGAGGATGTGGTCCGGCGTCGAGATCCGCGATCGCACCACGATCGGCCTCGAGGGCCAGATCGACCAGCTGCCGCCGTTCCCGGGCAAGTTCAACCCCGCGGCGGATGCGGTGGGGACGCTCAAGAGGAAGCGCGGCAGGGCGCCGAAAGCTGCTGCCGCTGCTGCTGCTGCTGCTGCTGCCGCGGCCGGGGCGGCGGCGGATGGTTCGAAGCAGGCGGCTCCTGGAGATGGAGATGGAGATGGGAATGGGGATGGGGGCGGGGACGGGGATGGCGATGGCGATCAGGCCCCGCAAGCTGCTGCAAAGGGGGCTCCGAAGCGCGATGCTTTCTACATTAATACGAGGACTCACGGGAGTTTTCCGCAGACGGCGCGGAGGGGTCGAAGGAGTAAGAGGATTAGTCGTATGAATAAGAAAAAGAAGAAGAAGAAGTAGTAGTTTGTTGGAGTCATGTCGCTGGCGGATGTGGTTCGTGAGCGGGGATTGGGAAGTTCGATGCGGAGATTCGAGATGGTAGTAACCTGCTGAAGGACGAAAGGTGGTGTGGGTTGCTGATATGCTGCAAAAATCTCTTACCTCTTGTGTGTATCTATACTTGGTTCGCTTGCTATCATTGGGTTTAGCAGTTGTACATGACCTTCTCGTTATGGCTCTGTAGGCATCAGAATAGGAATTCGTGCACTGTATATGTAAGTTATTGGGAGCAAACTGGTAACCGATATGTTGAACTCACAGTAAGTGGCGAATGGGGATTTCTGATGCTGTACACTTCTATTTACAGGAGCTAGTATACAACCATGACATCGGGTGTCAACTTCCTAAAACTCGCAGCTCCAACACTCAGACACCACATCCCCATACCTCCGCAACAGATCCTCCAGTACCGGCGCTACCGCCTGCGATCCGCCGATGGTCACCTCTAACGACAAGAGCCCTTTGACGAGTACATCGACCCGCTCCTGCCAGACACTATCATCATCTTCATCATCGTCACCACCACCACCACCACCACCAATATTGCCGGCTTGATAGGCTGACCCTGACCCCAGACCTCCGAGCCAAAGCTCAATACTGGTCTCGATCGCCAGACGCAAGGCCGTGACCATAAGCGTCGGGGTGATATGATACGCGGTGAGGGGGAGGTCCGCGCTCAATCCGTTTTGCAGGTTGAAGGTGTCGTGTGCAACAGGGTGGGTGAGAGAACATCCTATCGCTTGAGCGATGGAGATTACGGCGGTCTCTTGGAGAGTACGGATGTGTGATTCTGTGATGGGGAGTAGTGAGGAAGAGGAGTCGTGGTTGAGGGAGAGGTGGTGGAGGATGGAGGTTAGTGTTTGGGCGAAAATCAGGGTTCCGAGGTCCCAGAAGGTTAGGACAGATACTGTTAAGAGAAAAGGGGCAGGTTAGTTGGGTCGGTTGTTTGGTGGGGCGAAGGTTCAGGGTAGATAGAGCGCAGGGGCTGCGGTGTGTGAGTAGCTGGGGTAGAGGGGACTGTTTGGTAGTTCAATGCGTGGTGACATACATGCGTAGATCTTGGACTCGGTGGAGAGGTGGGCGTAGCTCTCCATGCAATGCGCCATGAATGGGCGGAGGGTGTGGTTGTAGTCGTCTACTGCGGTCATGGTCGACGCTATGATTTCCCATGATGTGGGAGGAAGTGCGTGTTTGTTGTTAGTGGTGCCGCTGGGTGGGATGAGATCCTTGACTTTGATCATCATTCGCCATATGGAAAAAGCTCTTGCTACAGCAGTGCGATAGATCCGTGGGATACTAGCATCGAGATCGCTGGGGTGGATATGGTTGATTGGCGGCGGTAGTGTCGAATTATTCTCCAGGGACACTGTGATCGATTCAGACGAGTTGAGAAGATATTGTGTGTGAATGACTAAAGCTAACCTTTCCTGTGACCAAGCAGCTCAGGGAGCTTGCACTGATAATCTGTGAAAAGAGCGGCCCCAATGTCCCGGATATAACCTCCCCAGCGGATGATGTCTAGACTGGAATGTAATAAGGTCCCGTAAAGTGATGTGGGCCCCAGTTGACGGCAATACTTCCGGACGAGATCATCCAGACGGGACAGCTTCTGCAGCCCGATGTCGAGAAATTCGTGCACCCTGACAGTCGTTCCGTCTGGCCTGTCATATGCGTGGGAAGGAATGACGATACCATCGAAGAGAAGAATGGCACACACCACCCGAAATGACGGGACTGGCAAACTGCCTTGGATAAGTGACCGTGCCTTTATCCAGGAGTCATGGAAAGTGTCAACGAGAGCATCACGGCCTGCGTGCTGTCCTGCAGGTGACACCCCCTCCGATGTGGGCAGCCATTGAAGGGAAAACACTCGAAGCACTGCTTTCAGAACCGTGTCTGACTGTTTCCGAGCTGCGATGCTTAGTTTGTTGCCGTAGAGGTGACTAAAATGATCTAGGAACCGCACAGCGCCCAGCATAGTCATTCTAGGGTGTCGAATACCCTGAGTCGCTGACAGTTGAGAGGATAGGTGCTTGTTGGCGCCCCCTAGAGCTTGTCATGAGTCTTGATAGGTTCTGAGATGGTTTCGATCCATATTTAGACTGAGGGCACAGCTTACCAAGTTCTGCCTGCTCAGAGAATCTACTTTCGAGATAATAGGGATGACCCGATGCAGAAAGGTTGCACTCATAATCTATAAACCTTGACGCAGAATCCCTTACGATGGTATTGTAGATCGAAGCAAGACACTCGTCGAGCACCGTCGCTTCCAGTTTTGAATTCAACAGGCGTATCGGGCTATTCCTACTCCTGCCCACGAGCATTGACTGGGGGTTGGTTGACAGAGACTGGTGTTCTGCCCGTGAAGCTGCCGACGGAGAAGGTAAAGATGGCTCACCAAGCGCTTCTGTAGCCCTTGAAGAGTCCAGTGATGAGGCCGAGAACGGGTCGTATATATCGGTGCTGGTGCTCTGAGACAGCTCAATATCGAAATTGAGCCACGATGTGAAGTCTTCATCGCTAGTGCCAATATTGACTTCAAAACCATCTCCCAGGCAATTGATCAGTGTCTCATCCCTCTGATTGTGAACCTGCGACTGGTTAAGGTGCAGTAGCTGTGCGCCAACACCTGCTGGGTCTTTGCGCTTCCTCGGCCTTGAAGAGACAGACTTGATAAAGTCAAAGGTGCAGTGATGGTTCAATCGCTTGCAGTTGGTACATATAGCAGCGGGTTCGTCATCAGTAAGGGACAGTATGACACATCGCCGCTTCGAGCGACGGCATGGATCACAGCTTGTGTTCTGGCGACGCCGAGCAGTGGGAAATGACGGTTTCACCACCCTCGAGACTTGCATGTGGGACATTCGGACCAGAATCTCCAAGGAGAAGCAGGGATATTCATGAGCTCATTCTTGAGTATAGATGGAAGTTCACCGACACGAGTAAGAAGAAATGATTATAAGCAATGTTAGGATTCAAGTTTGGAGCTGGACCTGCATCATAACATAGCTATAGATCCAGAAGGCAAGCGAGTGACTGCCCTTGCGGGTAAAACCGGCGGCGATTTCTTACCTCGCTGACTCACTGTTAAGTCAGCGGACTCTGTCGCTTGGTGACTAATAAGAGCCTATATCAGCAACTATTCCATGAATTCTACTTTCCAATGTGCATCGGTATCGAAGTTACGAGGTTATCATCACATTTCAGATCCACGAGTATGGGTAGCTCAATGACCAATAAAAATCCTATTATACAGGCAGAAATCATCGCAGAAACAGCTTAGATATCCTCCCCAGCAGCCCTGCGGACGCAATCCACGATGAACTGTGGATTGCTCAAAAACGGGGAGTGTCCTTCTTGACACCGTTCAACCTGCAGCGCTCCCTCACTTTGAGCGACCATCCGCTCTTGCACAGAAAGCGGCAAAGCCCTATCATTCTCGCAGACAATATACGTACTGGGAATTTCGCGATAGGCCGTGTAAGTCACTGGCACGGACAGCGGGCCGACGGGGTACGAGCCTAGCAGATCAAGCGCTTCCTCCACGTCGGCAGGGTCGCATCGATTATAGAAGACCTCGCGCGCTGCTTCCCTGTCCACGATCATCGCTCCATCCTATGTTATTAGAAGATATGGTCAGCCAAGCGGGCCATTTTGCGACGACAGAACGAGAACAACAATCACACCTCTGTGAAGCGCATCCCACCATGCTTCGCTACATACTCCTGCCGCTGCCGTTCGAGCTCCTCTTCTTCGGGCGTCTGAGGTTTGATTTGCCCAACATGGTTCTGGCCTTCTGGCAGTGCCATGGCAGCCATATACATCAACTGGAGAACACCACCTTTGAGGCCTGCGCTTTCGCGGGTGCTCTTGCCCAAGCCCTTGACTGCTTCTGACATGGGGATTCCGCCAAAAGAATGAGCCACGGTGATCACGTCCCGGCCTGCGTCAATGTAGCCCAGGATGACCTTGCGGATGGCCTCTGCATCGGTGGCCCAGCTGCTGAGGGGATGGCTGGAGTCCACGGAGGGCAGTGTCACACCTACTGCCTGGTAATTGAATTTCGCCAGCCCGTCGACTAGACGCCGATAGTGCTGCGGCCGATGCCAGGAGCCTGGGACAATGACAATAGCTGGTCTGATCATATCGCTGATGTTGGTGCAGGAGGATGATAAATGAAGCAGGAAGTGCCAGTATATTTGCGAGGGAATGGGGTGATTGGGGAAGATTGCAGAGACACTAGATCATTCTGCAGTGGTTTGATAGAGTCTGAGCCATGAAGACGGGAGGTAGGAACCATGAATTTATACTGCATGAAGAGTTTGACGTGAGAGATCTGCACGATTCTCGGAGCCGCAACAGTAGATACAATATAATGTCCGAGGGGTGTACAATATAGTCCTGTACAGTCCTGAGAAATCCTCCCCGCATTAGTTCCCATCGGCTCCGAACTTCTATAACCAAAGTATCGGATCCGCAGACCGAATCGAATATCGGTTCCGACGCGAAGTGCCTTTTAACGAATCAGAAACTGAGACTTCTATTGACGAGATTTCTGCCGTTAGGCTAGCCACTATCTTTTCAGTTAGTTATGATGTTCCAGTTCCATGTTCTTTCATCCACTTATAATGACAGCCTGAGCAGTTGCCTTATACAGTGTATAGATGTGAAGTTGCGGGGAATAGAGGTTCCGTGTTTCATGGTCTGGATCGGGATCGGTGTATTAGTTCAAGTAGGAAAAGGCGCGCTCCAATGCTATTGAAACTCGATTACATCGCCAATGCTCAAGCGACAAGAGTTGGAGTCATAATTTGTCCTCCTTTAGTACTGAAGCCAGTTGGCTGGAAAGAGGGTCAATGCCGCGGCGGACAAACAAAGAACCTTGAAGGATAAAGCGGCCAATGCAAACAAGACAAACCGCGACCCGCGATGGCTTCATCGCCCGGCGCTCAACGAAAGCGACAACATCCGACCGACTGGCACCAGGTCCAAAATCCTGCGCCAGGTGTGTCTAATCCAGCGGACTTGTCTGAACGTGCAATTAACTCGGTATACCTAGACTGTCTCTCTCATTAACCTCTCGTATCGATGACTTGATTGGAGCATCTTGCCGTCCTCGCGACACTACTATCTCACTTATACAGCCGAAGCTCTCCCCAAGGAGCGCGTGACGAAATTCGGTCCGGTCAAGATGTTCACCTTCACTCCTTTGCTCGGTGCTCAGTCATCCGCATCGAAGGCATCGCAGTCGATATTGCAGCTTGAGGGAGGGATAAAAATCCTGGTGGATGTCGGTTGGGATGACACCTTCGATCCCCTTGACCTGCAGGAGCTGGAAAAGTGAGCCATGCTTGTTCCTTGAGATATTCTGAGCTCTCTGATGAAGACAATCCTCTCTAATCATACATATCTTATACAACAGACACGTTCCTACAATATCGTTGATCCTCCTAACCCACGCGACCCCTGCACACATCGGTGCCTTTGCCCACTGCTGCAAGACCTTCCCTTCGTTCACTAAGATCCCCGTCTACGCCACGAGTCCCGTCATTGCCCTCGGTCGCACACTTCTCCAAGACCTATATGCATCCTCGCCTCTGGCTGCGACATTCCTACCCGAATCCCCGATATCGGAATCTGGAGCATCCACTTCCGCCGCGTCGGCCGCAGCATCCGTCGTCGAAGGCGACGAAAGCCCCGAGGCTGCACATGCAGGTCGCATCTTGCTCCAACCCCCCACCGCCGAAGACATCGCGCGCTACTTCTCGCTGATTCATCCATTGAAATACTCGCAACCTCACCAACCGCTCCGTTCCCCTTGGTCCCCGCCTCTGGACGGCCTGACCTTGACTGCTTACAATGCTGGACACACCGTGGGTGGTACGATATGGCATATCCAGCATGGGATGGAATCTATCGTCTACGCGGTCGACTGGAACCAGGCCCGCGAGAGTGTCGTGGCGGGAGCGGCGTGGTTCGGCGGCTCGGGGGCAAGCGGGACGGAGGTCATCGAGCAGCTGCGCAAGCCAACAGCGCTCGTGTGTAGTACCCGCGGAGGCGAGAAGTTTGCTCTCCCTGGCGGACGGAAGAAGCGCGACGACCTGCTCCTTGACATGATTCGGAGCACGGTTGCCAAGGGCGGCACGGTCTTGATCCCGACGGATACTAGTGCTCGTGTTCTGGAGCTGGTCTATGCGCTGGAGCACGCCTGGCGCGATGCAGCGGGCACTGGTCAGGGCGACGATGTGCTGCGAACGGCAGGATTGTACATGGCGGGCAAGAAGGCCAACACAACCATGAGACTTGCGAGGAGCATGCTGGAATGGATGGATGAGAACATAGTGCGCGAGTTTGAAGCTGCGGAAGGGGTTGATGCGACAACGGGCCAGGCGCAGTCGAACAACGACGGTCCGCGGTCCGGAGGACAAAACAAGACCGAGGGCAGAGGCGTGGGACCGTTCACTTTCAAGCACCTCAAGATCATCGAAAAGAGGAAGCGACTCGAGAAGATCCTCACCGACCAGACACCAAAGGTAATTCTGGCCTCTGATACGTCGCTGGATTGGGGATTCGCAAAGGAGTCGCTCCGCCTGGTAGCCGACGGCGCCAACAACCTGCTGCTTCTTACCGAGCCTCTACACAAGGAGAAAGTTTCCAGTAATCATCGGGAGAACCGTCACAGGAAGACTCTTGGCGGCATGATCTGGGAATGGTATGAAGAAAGGAAGGATGGGGTTGCACTTGAGAAGGCCGCGGACGGCGAGATGCTGGAGCAGGTGCACAGTGGTGGAAGAGAGCTCTCATGGTCCGAGGTGCGCCGTGCGCCTCTCGACGCTGGTGAGCAAATGCTTTACCAACAGTACCTCGCTACAAAGAGAGAGCTGGAAGATACCACTCAAACAGGAGGGCAGGAGAACACCGACCCTGCCGCAGACGTACTTGATGACCAATCTAGTTCGTCATCAGAAGACTCGGAGACCGAGCAGCAGGGAAGGGTATTGACCCTGTCCACAACCTTAGCTCATGGTAACCGCAGTAAGCTGGGGCTCAGGGATGAAGATCTTGGTGTCAACATTCTCTTACGACGGAAGAACGTCTACGACTACGACGTCCGAGGCAAAAAAGGCCGCGAGCGGATGTTTCCCTACGTGGCTCCTCGGAAGCGGGGTGATGAGTATGGTGAATTCATCAGACCCGAGGAATATCTTCGGGCGGAGGAGCGCGAGGAAGCTGATATGCAGCAACGTCGGACCGACTCCCAAATGAGATTAGGACAAAAGCGACGATGGGACGAAAGCGGACCGAATGGACGCCGTTTGTCCAGCAGTGGTGGCAAGCGCCACCAAGGACAGGGCGAGGCCTCGAAGAAGGATATCAGCACAGCGGATGAGCTGAGCGTTATGGAAGACGGCGAGGCCGCTGATGCTGCTGCCTCTTCTGACGATGAGCCGGAAGGTCAGGCATTTGAAGGGCCGGCCAAGGTCGTCTTCGAGAAGGCGAGCCTGACCATCAAAGCGCGCCTCGCGTATGTGGACTTCACCGGTCTGCATGACAAGCGCAGCTTAGAGATGCTCATTCCACTGATTCAACCCCGCAAGCTGATCCTGGTTGGAGGCATGAAACAGGAGACGACGGCCCTGGCCGACGAATGCCAGAAGCTCCTTGCAGCTAAGGTCGACGTCGACGTCCCCGCATCCGCGGATTCGGCAGTGATTTTCACTCCGGTCAACGGAGAGACGGTCGACGCCAGCGTTGACACGAACGCTTGGATGGTCAAGCTGAGCAACCACCTGTTCCGACGATTGAAGTGGCAGCATGTACGCAGCCTGGGTGTGGTCACCTTGACGGGACAGCTTCGGGGCCCTGAGTCTCAGCCTCAGCCCGCAACAGCAGAACAGGATCAGGAGGGCCCGCACAAGAAGCAGAAGGTGTTGCCGCAGGAGGAGACGAATCCTGCCACGGATTCTGAAGCCGAGTCGACAAAGCAGCAGCAGCAGCAGCCACCG